AAAGGGACATGATGTAAAAACTTTAGCAAGTGAAATTATAATGACCACGAAGCTTTGAAATCAGTCGAGTACAAGAACCAGTTGTGCACATGCTATGATCATCCCGTATATTGGAAAGAGAAGCCCAGAATGCAGTGAGGATTACGTATCGGTCTCCGGTCGGTGAACGGGAGGACGGGATGCAACGGGGCTCACCCCCGTTACATGCCGTCGTATGCAGGCCCACCGCCTCCTTCGGGAGTGACCCAATTGATGTTCTGACTTGGATCCTTGATATCACAAGTCTTGCAGTGGATGCAGTTTTGAGCATTTATCACCAAATGCATCCCTTTTCCATCTTCATTTGGCACATATTCATACACACCTGGAAGAGAAAGGTTTCCTCCTTCAGTTTATGTTTTACCAATAGATGCTGAACATCTAGAATTCAATCTGCACTTAGTCATCAGCAAAGTCACTAGACTATGGAGGGAGTACTTTTATTTTGACTTCATTTTAATTTTTGATGAATGCATGGTAGGGCCAAACATTTTTCATTCAAGCTGTCCAGGAATCAAATAGACTAGTCATAATTAGCATTAGTTGCTGTACTGCCCAAAGGTTGGTCGTATGCCCAATGTCCCAGCTTTTGTGAAAAAGGAGCCTGGCAGTGAGAGTATTAATTTTCGAGTAATTACTGGAATTTAATTTCAAAACTCCCTCCCCAGGAAAAGCAACTATTCAATTACTTTCTAAAGCAATGTAATTGTCATTGTAATCATGATTACGTGTTTTTGTTGAGGTAGAGAGCTCTATGCTTTATTTGGTCAGAGTAGCCAACTCAACAGTTCTATATTGGCATAATGCTCAATCTAGAGGGCAAAATCATGTAATTACTATAATGTCATGTCATGCTCTTTTGTTATTCCAATGCTTTTCAGGCCTTTGAACCCAAGACAACTGAACGTGGAGTAATGATAAAAAATAAAGACAGCAATGGGAAGTAGGGCTTACCAGCTGGACAAAAGCGCCCCTCTGGACCATCAAACTCGGCCAGGTTTCTCTTCACGGGGACGGTATCGTCCCGAAGCGTCAGATGTGCAGGCTGATCGTGTTCGTGGTTGGTGTTCGTCAAGGCCACCGAACTGAGAAGGTCAAACGTCAACACTCCATCCGGCTTAACGTACTCGATGGGCTGATACTCTGAGGCTGGCTTCAGTTGAGCATGATCAGGACCTGAAATGTTGACAACATTTGAAGCTTGAGGAAATAGCGAAAGATTCATCCTCGGCCATCCACCAATTGAGAAATTTAAGGTTTAGGCTGCAGAATGCTGATATACTTCATCTAATAAAATCACCACATCAAACAGGTATATCCCCACAGGCAAAAACAGCAACATCATGAATGCAAAGATTGTATAACTGTGCAGAGAGCACAGTTCAACTGGAATTATGAGGTTTGAGGTGGTTTGGATGATACATACATTTCTGAAATAGGTGGCAGTAAAATGCACTTGATTGCTAGAGTTGCAGAGAAAATAAAATTTATCGGAAGATGCAGCATTCCACACCAGTTCAGTACTCAGAATTTCAATTAAGGCTCCTTCAAATGTTTATTTATTTTGTTCATCAGCATATTGAACAGTAGGGATAATCAACACTTTAAACGCGATTATATGTGTACAGAAGCAACCAGTACTGGTTATCAATTTGGCTATTAGCTTGGCAGGAATCTGAGATAACTCTACCATCTCAGGAGAGGAACTTCTCTTGTGAGTTCCTCATCACTTAGTATTTTCAAACAAGCCAGACTGCTCAAATACAAAGACAGTTCTGAATTTCAAAATGATTTTGGTCAAAAAAGGTTAAGGGCATACATACCCTTGTGGTGGAAAGTCCATGGTTCCTTCCCCCGGAGAATATAAAAGATGGTGCCAGTGTACATGAGGCCTCCATAAAGGCCAAAGGGAGTACTGAAGGATGGCTTCACATTCCTCACCATATATAGGTCTTTCCACACCCAACTTTCCCGGAGCTTCTTCTCATATACTTCTGGATTAACTCCTAAAGAAAAATAATTGATATAATATGACATATTGATAAGAGCAGGTTAAGGGTAGGACAATTTCAATTAAAGAAAAGTTAACTGTGGCAATGACACAAAGTCCTAGAGTTAGAGTTAGTTAGTTAAAGGTATGGCATACTACAGGGTGTTAAGAAAGTTGTGTCCCATTGCAATAAGCCGATAACCACAGCAAAAAACAAAAAACAGGAAATTTTACAAATATACAATAACAAGGACAGTCACCTGATTTAGAATCACTCAATAGTTTTCAATATGGCCACCCTTGGCATGGATGACAAGGTTCAGATGACCCATGAAAGCATTGATTAATTTTCGCAAGACTTCCTGTGGAATTCGCTCCCATTCTCGGTTCAGGGATAGCTTGAGAGAATCCAAAGAATGGTGTATTGTTGCACACACTTTGCTCTCCAAAATGGACCAAATTGAAAAATCTAAATCTGACATTTTCCAAGCCACTCGGCGTCAAGGGGCGGCTTTTGTAACGGTCTGGGCTGTGATTACCACTTCTGGACACACTATACTCGCTCTGGTGCCTGAGAAGGTGAAGGTCAATGCTGAAGTATACCAAAAAAGCATCCTGGAAGACTGCCTGGTTCAGTGAGCCACAAATCATTTCAATGGAGGCAATTGGGTCTTCCAGCAGGACTCAGCACCAGCTCACAAGGCATGGATGACCCAGGAGTGGCTGCAGACAAATGTCCCTGACTTCATTTCAACTGCACAATGCCCCCCTTACTCCCCCGATGTCAACTCCTAAGATTTTCCAATTTGGTCCATCTTGGAGAGCAAAGAGTGTGCAACAAAACACTGTTCTTTGGATTCTCTCAAGCTCTCCCTGAACCAAGAATGGGAGTGAATTCCACAGAAAGTCTTGCGAAAATCAGTCAATGCTTTCAAGGGTCGTCTGAACCATGTCATCTGTGCCAAGGGTGGCCATATTGAAAACTATTAAGTGATTCCCTAATGAGGTGACTGCCCTTGTTATTGTATATGATAATTTTTTCCTGATTTTTTTTTGCAGTGGTAATAGGCAATAGGCATATTGCGATGGGACAAAACTTCTCAACACCCTGTATATTGCACAAATTGCAGCAAGATGGCATACCTTTGGTGAAAGACTTCTTGTCTGAGAAGATGGCTTCGAAGACACTCTCGGCACCCACCATGGCACTCTTCATGGCATTGTGAGTTCCCTTGACCTTGGGAACATTGAGAAACCCTGGTGAACAGCCCACCAGGCATCCTCCAGGGAATGTGAGCTTGGGCACGCTCTGGCACCCTCCTTCGTTCAAGGCACGACCTCCATACGCTATTCTGAAGCGAGATTTCCAACAGTTAGTCACAAAACTTCAGATAGTGATGGGCTTGTTCTTTTGCATCCCATCCAGAAAAAAGTAAGCTGGACTAAAGACAAAAAGCCTCAGATGCTGCAAAAAAGAGAAAAAAATTTATTTCTTCAAAATTTTCATAACCTGGTCAAAGGCACTGGAAAATTTCAATCCTTTCTTCAATCATAATACCCTTATGCATCCCTAGTTTAATCACATCAGTATCCCCTTAAACCTCTCTCCTCATCATTATGCTCCTTAACTTCAGGGTTGGCCAAAATTAATGTATTACTCTGGCTTTTCAATCATTGTTGTGCTGTGCATGGGCTGATGCATGATAGAAACAGTCATCATAGACCAGAAGGATGCAGCTCCGTATTCCCAGAAGACGAATCAAATGCCAAGGGAGGCACCAGACTTCAGAAAGCAGGAAATATGACAAAAAAAACAAGAAGTCTGATTTACACCTTTGCAATCAGGCAGCTTGGGAAACATAGGGAGTTTATATATTGACTACCTATGGATACCTTTTTCCATAGTGAATCTGGGGAACATCCTTTTAATAATTTTATAGCCTGTTTATTGATAGACCTCAGAATGGTGTCATATCTTTTGTTCATCTATTCTGGTGTGACTAAGAATTCATATGTGAGGCCTTTGTTTTAATAACAGGTTCAGAAATATGGAGTACAGCATTCCAAAAAGAGAGAGAAAAGAATTTGTTTACAAGGACAAGCCAACAGATCTGAACAACATGAAAGAGAATATCTCTCATGCTGAACGATGGAATTCACAGACAATGCAATTGCCTTGGTTCAGGAAAGTTTGGAAAGTGGTGGTGAACATATTTAAATATTTGCCAAGTAAATTCTTAATTGTTATGACTTTGAATTCCAAAAATACTCTATTATTCAATCAATACCAGAAGCTCGTGTAATAAGGTGTAAAAAGGATAAATGGCAAATTATCCTTTTAAATTTTAGTTTCAATTTCTTTTACTTTCAAATGAATAGTGAAAACCCTAAAGCACCAGATCTGGGGAAATTAATTCTCTGCTATTACAAAGTGGAAGGAGGAAAGATCTGACACTATTCCAAGGTCAGTATGTTGTCAGTCTACAAACATTAAAAAATGTCTACTTCAGAGTCAATAATAAAAAATTTGCCCATAGGAAGTCACATTACGGACATCCTGCATTTCAGAAAATTTTTTTTCAGAACACCACCTCCTAGCCAAAAAGGGGGATGCAAATTCTTGACAGGGGCAGTGACAGATGGTGGTCATATTTACCAGTTGTTGCCTTCAAATTCATTGTCGTTCAATGTATTCCACCTCTCCTAGAAACAATTGACTGAAACACCAAGCTTGGTTTTCTAGTCCACTACATAATTGCAGATTGAAGGAAAATTTCTTCATCTACTAATGAAAAAAAAAGGACAAGTATCCACTGTGTAATATTGACCTTTTACCACCCTCCAAGACTGCTTTTACAGATGGGTGAGTCTTCCACGTTTGGAACTCCTTGAATGGATGAGTGTATGGGTTAGAATAGTCCAGTCCTTTGGCATATCCTATAGAAACAAGGCATTGGTCTCCATCCTTCACATGGTACATGAAAGACCCCGAGTACTCTCTGTAGGGCTGGAAAGAAAAAAAAAAACAGATAACACAGGGTCAGTGAATGAGATAGGCATATAAATGAACACTATTAAAACTATGGGAGAAGGGGGCTTAACACTTTTCTTAAATGTAACTTCCATAAAATACTTCCCACTTTCCCACTACAAAATCAAGAATAAAAATATCTGGGAGCCATGGGCAGAAAAGGCCTAGGTTTACTAGTGAGTTGGGACTCATCCACCTAAACAACTTAGAATTACCAAATTGATAAATTAAGATGCCAAAAAATCAGCATTAAAATATCTTGAATTTGCCTGAAGATTATATTAGGCCTAATATTATTTATCTGAAACATAACTACCTCAGTGTCTTTTAAAAAACAAATGCTTTGATGCATCCTGCATGAGCTTTGCACCACTTAGCACAAATGACATGAACAAGGTGACTCACATTTAAACTCTCAATATTTTAGTTTTCGAATGTAAGTTACCTAATTTTTGGGGTGATAAGCTGACTGGCATCAATACATTGACACTTAAAATGTTTACGAAAGGCTGTTTCAGGAGGAAAAGGCCACCACCTATTGATGGACTGTCCATGACTCCACACGTACGAGGAAGTCATTATTACCGAAGGCCACCCGACAGAGTGCTCCACCAGGCCGAATTTGAATTTCTCAGGTTTCACCTCCCAAAGCTCCTTCAGGCCCAAGGCATAAAGCTGTGGCTCACAGTCCTTCCTCAAGTTGAAATGGGAGAACAGCTGTTTTGCCAAATGACCATGACATCCTTCAGCAAAAATGGTGCATTTGGCATGTAGCTCCATCCCTCTCTCAAAGTTCTCCTACAAGGAAAGATGAAAGTTGAAGAACTGATTTGGATTCAAATTCCAGATAAGACTCTCCACAGTAGGTAGAATTGGTAGAATGCACAATAGAGAGATTTTATTTCCCAAGTTACAAAGCAGTGGAGAATCTCATCACATTCAGGGGAACCCAGGGAAATATGAATTATGGGTTATGAGGCACAGCAATGAATTATTTTCTGGTTCAGAAGGTGCGAGCCTGAGACTCAAAGGCCATTTTGTACAAATCCTATAGATGGTTCCAGCATTCTGCTGTCTCTCTAGGAATTGGATAATACTTCCTAAAATAGGGAAATTGAATTTAACACACTCTAACAGCCACTGTAAACATGCTGCCGAGTTCATGATAAAAAAATCATGTTCTCCAAGGTAAGGAATATGATTATGAGCTGGACAAAAGTTTTGTCTAATAGATATTAGATTGAATGAAAAAATATATGATGATGTAACCAAGTGAATCATTAGCCTAAAAATTAAAACTTCAAATTCAAGGTGGGTCATATATTTCAAAAACCATCTTGGTACCAAACCTCAAACAAAAAAAAAGAAGTCCTCTGTGATTCAGAGCCCTCCAGTTTTCCCATCAGCCAATTTCTGATCCTAGAAAACGTGGATTTAGCTCAGGAATTTTGGCTCCAAAAGCTCACCACCAAGGCATCAATATTATAGTCTACCAATGGTCATCAAAGATTTGCCAGAGAAGCGACTTCCTCACCTTTGGAGATCCATCTTTGGCAATGCCAACATCATTTGTGGCTATTCCTTTCACACTCCCATCATTGTGGAAGAGAACTTCGGCTGCAGCGTACCCAGGATACAGTTCAACACCCAGGGCTTCTGCTTGTTCGCCGAGCCAGCGAACGAAGTGACCCATTCGGATGACTTGATTCCCATAATTGGCCATGGGCATTCCTGGCAAGAGAGGCACAGGGATTTTCCGATTCTTGGTGAGGAAACTGAATCTGTCCTTGGTCACAGGATTATGCAGCGGCGCTCCCTTCTCCGACCAATCAGGAATCAATTCGTCGAGAGCACGAGACTCTATGCAAGCTCCAGATAGATTGTGTCTACCTGAAAGTGAGATTCATATACACATAGCTTAAGTCCAAAACGACAAGCTCGGCAATTACTAGACTACCTTGAATGCCGATATATGTTCTACTCACAAGTGTTACTTCAGAAATGAAAACACCATGGAACAGGATCGATTTGACATGACCAGAAAACCAATATTCAGATGATGCAGTGAAATACAATAAGGATAGCCAAATCTTCCTTTTATTCTTAGTTCTTGTGATTTCAAGTTGATGTAGAATGTTACTGGAATTGAGAAGGCTTTCAAGAGATATAATAATTATTCCAAGAATTTCAATCATGAGCAGCTCAACCAGCTTGGGTCATATTGCAGGTGGAAAGAAGGGCCACACAGTTGCAATATGATATTAGCATGATGTCAATTACATTCAACAACCAAGTGAAAACAAAAAAAGACGAACCTAGCTCAGCTGCCTTCTCCACGAGGCAAACACGAAGATCTTTGTTGTGCTCTGCTGCAAGCTGCTTGAGTCTGATGGCAGCAGATGTTCCGGCCGGCCCTCCGCCCACAATGACCACATCGGCTTCGTCGACGAACCTCTCCATGGGTACATCTGTGCATGAGTTCAAGAGAACGGAGAAGAGGATCAGTGACAATGGCCAGGCCACTGGAAATCACTTTTAAAGCCTGGTATGAGCTTGAAGGATGAAGTGGCAAAGAAATGAAACAATGAATTGAGTGACATACCTTTCCATCTCGGATCGGATTCTCGAGGCACTATGGTATAATGAGACGTAATCTTTGGGAATGACTGCGCACTGAAGGTCTGCTGGCTGAGTCGCTTCACACTTGTGAGCAAAACTGAAAGGAGACAAAGTAATTCAAAGTTCCAGATGCCATTGGATGTGGACACTTCATGGGTTTCTGCAATTTTGTGACTTTGGCTTAACATAAGATATAGTTATCCATATATTTGAAAAAAAAGCAGCTCTAGCAGAGATTCATTTTGCAAGTTTACTTAGCCTTTAAGATTTTAAAAGTACATTATTCATTTACAAAAATGTGGGGTATGTTATATCATGCATAAAAAATTAGTTGTCTAGCTTTAAATAGCTATATATATTCAATGAGGTTTAAGGAAAATTGCCAGGAGCAATAAGGGCATAACATGTCCACAAGATATAGTTTGGGTTGTTACAATGGAGATAAGAAACATTGCCAATTTGGCTTTCCTATCTTTTACAAAGGGAAACACCAATCAAGGTGTGACTGATACCATTGTCAATATTGATAATAATTATTAGGAATCAGCCAGTAACAAAACCAATATGTGGATGCATTTGCAGAAAAAATGAAAAGAAACACGCCAGAGGGTACCATACTTTCATGGCATATATGAGTCAGGACAAGTTATTGATCCATATTCATTTTGGAAAGGCCATAAAGGAGCATTACAAATAAGCATACAGACATTCAGCAGCCAGTTCTAAACAGTGTTTTTTTTTTTTTTTTTTTTTTTTTTCTGGACAGCTAAAAGGAGAGATTCATGGACTGCCATGGGAAAACCAAAAATAAAAGTTTTCGTAGATTGGCTGGATGGGAATTGGTAGATGCTGATCTTCAATGACCTTTGTGATATCGCCCGATAACCGATACCTGGTATTGGTTCGATGGATTCCAAATATTACGATAGTATGCGTGACGATGTGATACCAGGTGCAAAAGGCTCAAAATTCATAAATGCATCGTCTCCGAAATACCATGTAACAATCCACCCCCATAACGTGACCTCATACAAGTAACCCCAAACCTTGGGCGACTCAATTTAGCATCAATGGTTACTACGACGATGAGCTGGCCGGCTTCGACCTGCACCACTGGGGTTCTATAACGTCGTACTTCTCGAAAATATCGCCACAAAGCTCAGGAAGCTGCCATTCCGAAACATGCTGGGATTGTACTTGGAAATAATAGTTTGAATCGATACTTGATACCGAAATAATGCATAAACTCACTCCCAGTAGGTATAGAACTCTTCATTTGAACGAGCTTGTAGGAACTGGGACCACAGAAAGCAGCCATATTTGTTTACATCTACGGTCCTTGATCCTCAGACGGCTTCTGGTAATTTCTATTAACTCGATTCGGAGTAAGCAATCCGATCGGAGCCGCTATCAAGTTACAGGATCCGCGCTCGTACCGATCGATGATCCCCGTTTATTTTCAATGCGTCAACCGAAGGCGAAATTGGATCGAGCCACTTTCATTCCCGGATCTCTGACGTCTGACATGAAGCTTCTCCTTTGAAAGTTGCATATGGCTGCTCCTGCTGCGCCTGTGCGTGCTCTGCACGCCGGCACGGGATGCAGATGTTAACGATGGGGGTGAATGCCTAAGCTTCTCTTCTTCGAATTCTAGTTCAAACAAAGCAGTGCCTACAGAAGTACCACGAGATATGATCTCCCCCTGTATATATAATGGATACCTTAATCGATGTCCTGAATTCCTTGGCGGTGTCGGTTTACGCTTGAGTTATAGAGGTGACACCATTCTATTGATGGCATGGGAGATAGGTTAAGCTTGTACCTAGTATGCATACACTATCTAAGTTAGGTCTAATCGGTGAGGAGCCAAACATTAGAAATGGGACAAATACCTGCTTGATGGAATAAGTATTAGGCCTATCCTGTGTATCAATGTTCTTGACCCTTAGATTGGGTAAAGGTGAGTCTAATTGAATATTTTGTTTCTCAACAAAAAGCAGCCAGTAACTTCATCAAAGGTAAGAACTGAAAATGGAGATGGTGTAAGATAAGAAAGAAAAAGAGGACCCTGTCCCTGTGTGCAAATGTTGTACTCTGACATTTCAATGCATGGACTTTCAAGAAGTGCATGGACACTAAGCCCTCTTGAAAAGCCTTTGAGAGACTAAATAGGCTAGACAGCTCCAAATCTTTTAAGATCCTTGGAGTGGTCTCCCTCACTGTCAGAGATTGTGATATTTCCACTCTTCAAGTTATACACATTGGATTGATATGTCCCCATCTAGGTTTTTGTGCCCCTGCCTGGATGCCATATACATCTAAACTCGTGACTGACCTTGAGCACATGCAGCACATAGCTACTTGCTGCATCTTGACAGTTAGCAAACTTAACTCACCTTCATACCATGCATGCTTGAGAATCCCAAACTTGATGTCTTGAGAGAATCATTGAAAGTTCTCAGTGATTACCCATTGCCTGAAGAATCTGTACTGTAGTATAACTCTGATTACTTGACAGTTTCTCTATCCCTTTCCTCTTTTGACTGTCTTGACCTGTATCTTCTTTATATTTTTTTGAGTTTCTATCCTTGTTTTCTTTCCTGCCTTTTTTTGTTTCCCTCCCTTTCTTTTTGCCAGGGCTTTCATGGGCTGTGCCCCATACCTGTGCCCTTCCATTTATTGGGAAATAAAGAAAATAAGAAAGACAAACTATTGGAGAATGCAAAGAGAAAACTGGGTTCTTGAATTATTCAATATTGACACGATCAAGAGCCTATGTAAACAATAAAGCAGAAAAAAAGATTAACTTTGCAATAGGATGCATACAATTGCCCATAGGTCAAATTGGGATGAGGTTAAATGGAGACTTTTATCAGATCAATGAGCTCATTAAAAATATTTGATAATGTGGCATCTGAATTGGAATAGTCTACTTTGGATTCAAGATTTGGAAATTAGTTGGTGAGTTATAGTTGGGTAAGGTATAGTGGAGTTTCCCCCCATCATGAGTGGAATCCCACTTGGATGGTAGGTTGTAAAATTAGGCCTATCTTGGCTTAGAAGGGTTTGCCCTTGTAAACTGTAATGCTGTCTCCTGCATTGTTTCTGATTGCAGCAGACCCATATGTTCCAGTTATACCTTTATCTGGAGAACAACACCAGATTGCACAATGTGATGTGAAGACAAAATTTTCATACTTTGTGCATCCATGGACCTGTTGCATGAAGTGTGATATGGTCATGAATGTTTGCATGTACATGATTGTCTATGTATATTGTCACACTGAACTGAATTTAAGAATCCCAGATCTTATATACAGATATTCTATCATGGATGTTATCATGCACCATATATTAATGGTACTTCAGCTTCCCCATAAATATTGAAGGGGTTTTAAAAAAGTTATTACTTGGATAAAGCACATAATATAATATCTTGAAGTTGGTATCAAACAAAGGTTCATCCTTCAAAAATTGTTTCATGCTCTTTATTCAGCATCCATGTCAATGACATGAATGCTTTGTGCAAGATGGTGACAATACAGGAAAAAGCTCAATGTGTGCTGTGGTTGGAGTTTAAATTGGTGATTTCTGGGCAATGTGAGATCTGTCAGGCATGCATATGTCTCTGCCTGGTGATAAGATTACTCTATCAGAATGTTGCATAAGCAGTCTACAAAAGCAGAGGAAATATGTGGAAAGTAAATAAAAAGGAAGTCCTTGAAAGGGATTGTATCTTTAGGCACTTTCTGTAACTGCATTGCTATCAGCTGATGAAAGAAGCCTACCTGTTCTTAAACGGTTGGTGTCGCATTCTGATAGTGTTATCGCAAGGCAGAACTCAATGAAATACCTTGTGAAACTCATGTTGCTCATGAGTCATTGCTCTAAACTCTGACAGCCATATAATGCATGAAGCCTTTCATGATACAATTTTCATCTTGCTAGGAATCATGTCATCAATATGGAAGTTGAATAAATTATATGACAAAAACTTTGTAAGATAGGCTTCTATTTAGTAACTGTTTCAGGATTTTATCACATACAGTTAGTTTGTTGTGTTGTAGAATTATTAAGAGGTATTTATAAGCCCCTCAATTATTCAAGGACATCCTACATAGATGGTATCACATGTCCACTGCATGATATGTGAATTGGATGAATTTTCTGCAGCATGAGTTAGATGAATGGAGGCACTTCTCATTGATACTGTTACGTGCATTCATTTTATGTTGTGATGTGTGCAACCATGAATACGTTTCTGTGCTCTGTGTCCCACATGTGAATGGATGCTGCCTGTTATTACACAATCCATTAGTCATTCCCACTTGGTGTTACATTCATTTATCCATTGTAGGACTACACATGCAATCATACATGGGGATATATGGTACTTTTATGTATAAGCTTCTCACTGCACAATAATAATAAACTGTTGTGTGCTAGGGTAAATGTCTTAGTTAATGTAGCTTGCTCCAATGTTGGAGTTGTTTTTCAGCCTTGGAGAAAACAAGGACATAGAATTTCTCTTGCTTAAATGAACCTTATTTATACCTGAAATTTCTAATCGCTAATATATTTTAATCCGTATTTGTCTCTTTTTTTAAATTAAAAAATCTTTTTTCCTGCCCAGGTGAACTGAACATCAAAATGCTGTATCATTCAGGCATACAACCTTTGGAAACCATGGCTTTCAAAAGATGAGATTTCGCCAAGCACAAGATGGCAAAAGCACAATATTATTCTAATCTGGAGCTTGGAATTCAAGAAATGACACAATTTGAAAAAGAACTGGTACCTGTGCCTGAATGGAAGAAGTTTAGTTAGTAAATTGGGTACTGGCACATGACGGAGCTGGAGATGGTGCATCTCTCTAGTCACCACATCATCATCAGTTTCCCTCATCTTGCTCTGTCTGCATTCTTCACAACATTCCTTGGATGTACTCTATGCCTCATATCAGCATACATCATGTATGGCAGACGAATATGTGACACTGATTGTGGGGTGAGCCTACTGAAATTTTAATTATAAGTAGCTGATGTGCAGGTACAAATCAGGTTACATAGCGTGCAGGATGATTTTTCTCTGTGGTTTGAATTGTCATAATCTCTGTTGCAGGCCTACAACATTTGGCCATCCATCAGTGCTGTGACAGGAGTGATTCCCCAGCGATACTTTTGGAGAGCCTGTGTGGCTTTTTGGCTCTTCCCAAGACTCCTTCTTGTGGCAGCCTACAACTCTTTCTTTGCTAAATCTACCTTCCAAGTCAGCAAGTCCAGCCAAGCAAATTACTCCCGATTGCGTCGTGTCGCTCTTTGTGTACATATCTTAGAGGTAGTGTCTTTTGTGGGTGGGAACTTCATTGCGAACAAGGAGAATTATCGTGAGTCTACCTTGCATAAGAAATGACTATCAAAGAAGACCTAGTCATTATTCTTTATATTTTATTTTACCATTCATTTTCACCGCAGCATATCACGAGAAGTGCTTCATCGTCTATACGGCTGCATCCGAGACGTACATGTTACTCCACCTACTACTCATATGGAAGGTCTCAGCCAGAAATTCATTGAGGGCTCCCCGAATCCAGTGGCGTTGCCTCAAAATTGTCATCGCATGCACTACCATCCTATTTACTGCTTTTATCTTACACAGAAAAACCTGCCTCAACTACGGTGAGTCAGAACTAGTACTTAATTCATCTTGGCTTATCATGATGGTCCAAGATGCAGGTATTCATTTCCTTGTGTAGTGTTAGTCAGGAACAGCTGAATCTTTTGCATACTATTAATGATGTGATGGAAATAGCTCCTGGACAGTGTATCAATAAATTTTTCCCCATGAAATTACATTTGATGAAATCCTTGTGAAGAAAGTGGATTTTTCCAGGCTGCCCAAAACCTTAGGCTGGGAGTGTGAGTTAATGGGATCACATAAAATAAAGATTTTCCTATTATTTATTTATTTACCAGCAGTTGAAAAGCAACTTGGAGTCATTTCTTGGTGTGCAATGGCATATATACCAGAAATTTCCATTTGTGGAAGCATTTGCCATGGCCCAAAGGCCTGGAAGAGATCAACTCTGCACCATTGTAACTGAATCTATGCCTGGAGATGTATCATCAAATGTGTTAACATGGGAAGGGAAAGGTGATTGCCTACATCTTTAGTATGTTCTGAAAACTCTTGGGAAAGTTTTCTGACTGAGACTCCACTTTGCCCTACGTTTTACATAGCATATTGCCTTGTGGAAACTTGTTCTTGTAAGTGATTAGATTGGAATGTCAAAGTGCCTCAAATTTTCCTTCTTTCCCTTACAGCATTCTCAGTATTCTCACTGATGGAGTACCTGATAGCCCTGACTCACACCATCTTCCATTCAAGTTCCGTGTTGGATTTCTCGGAGGAAGTTCTCGTGCTTGGGGTCCCAGTTGATAGCCACAAGTCCTGCCTGATGAAGGAACACAAAGGATAGGCCTCATTGCATTGCATTTCCCCCTCCTCTTTCCATAGTCCGACACTGCTTCCCTTTCCAACCGGTTCTCTTTTTGTTTAGTGGATCTAGAATGTGCAGGGATCACTTAGGGAATGTCTGATCTCAGAAGGTTTGTGGTATTTATATATTGATTAATTTGAAAATTAATATCCCCCATTTAATATATGTATATATAAATAATTTAAATGCATATTTATTGTGGCACATTCAGCACTAATTTACTTGTTGGTGTTCAGTTTTGCCATCTGATCTAGTCATTTGCATGGTGATATTTTGTATTTTCATTTGTTATTTTTTGTTTTACATTCTTTGAAAGTTGTTCTTTTGTTGCAATATAGAGATGTGATTCTAGCTGTGATGAAATGTAATCAAAAGATGTAGTAATGGAAAGCTGAGGGAACAAATACTCACTGGACTTTCACAAGTTTTGAACGTGACATTAACTATTTAGCTTCACCATATATTGTTGGGAATGTGGAATCATGAGGGAGTTTTCTAATGAATTAATGACTTGAATGTGATCCAGTAATGATGTGAAGCATTGTTGAGCAAAGAAAAAGGCAGGCAAACTGAGATTAATATTGAAAATTTTTCATAAAAAGTTGTGCATTAGGAAAAGGGAGTAGAGAGGTAAGTGAATGTTTGGTCAAAATGTCCTTTTTTGGTACTAGTAACCTATGAACCTAATGATAGCATGCTTTAGTTAATATGTTTAGTTCCTTTTATGTTCTTTTTTTCATATGTACTCTTGTTTATGTAACATTTTAAAAATAATCATGAAAGGTGGTTATCTTGCATTTCTATTTCCTAATTTTGAATGACCCCTAAAGCAGTATTTAACTCATCCCAGTGAAATGTGCCACTATGTCATGATCTTTTTAGTCATCCACCAACTTTTGCAGGGTAATCGACATACCTGTGTTCACGATGTATTTCTCGTGTCGCTCCCTTTTCGTACCTTCTACCGAGCTTCGAACTTGGCATCTATTATCTTCACTATGTGTGGATGATGCTGGGGGGGACAAGTTACACCCTGCATAGAGAAATGAGACTAAATCTCATGCTAGTTTGCTAGAACTTGAGAAGAATTAAAGATCACTGGAGGATCTTTCGTAGATGTGATATATATTTTCTTGCACTTCCATCGAGAGGACGTCGTGCCGTCTCGCCGCCGCGTCTCGCGGTTCGGAGCGGGAACGACCGCTCTCGCCGAGGGAACGACTCCGAACGTGTTCGTGTATTGCATGTTTCTTACTACTGTACTTCGCAATTCGTATGTTGTGATGAAAACCCTGCTTCCTTGTAGCTGTCAACATTGGCATGCATTATTCCCATTTTGCTGACTTGCAATCCAATAATTGCAGGTCATGCGAGTAATGAAAGTCTTGTACCTCATATTTATTAGTCATTCATGGAATTTTATCCTCTTGGAGATATGCTTAAAAAATGGTACTAAATGTCTAACAACCTTACAATGACTGAGCTTCCTGTCATGGTGTTTCTTGGTACTCGATATAAAGCATATCTGAAAAAGTACAATCGCTCTTTTACTCATGAATTACTGTGAAAAGTATCGCAACACATGGGTACATTTAAATGTGAGGACGTCAAAAAAGAAGTGGAAAGGACTATGCAAAAAAAGGAGTTTTAAATTTCCTTTTCAGAAATCCTAGAGAGGTGTTCAACCAGTGGTGTATGCAGGATTTTAAGAAAGAGGTGGAATTCAGTATTAACCCTTTAATGCTCAGTGGGAAGTATGCTTCCCAGTTAACAACAATGAGCATAAAACACTTTGGGAGTTATTGTTTCACTTAGTGCAGGTGCAGCCACCTAGTGGAAGGATTTTGTAGTTGAAAATTTGGCCACTGAAGGTGTTGTGAAGTTTTCATTGTGCATCAATTTATATTTTGACTTATGGTGTCCCTCCTGTGCCGCGAAGCATTTGTTTTAGAAAGGATTTTTACCTTGTTTATATAGAGTGGGCCAAAAAAAACCAGCTATTGTATTTGCTGAGTTGTCTATCTGATTGATTTTAGGCTGCCGATTCTGATGAAATTTGGTAGGCACATAGGATGACTCAATTAGGGTTTGTGTGCCGAGTTTCAAATAAGAATTCCAAAAACTGAGATTGGTATTTAATTTACATTTCATCGCCAGAAAGGACGTTCATTTTTTCTTTCAGTTCACAATTTTTCTCGACTGACAAAAAAAAACAGAAGAAAAATAAAATAAAATAAAAAACAAAATGCAAAAATACCAAAAACGAAATCATTTCAACTGACAAGGTGCTCAATGCTCCATTGCGTTGAACGCAAGCCTCTAGTCAATCACGCCAAGGATCAATGTCTCGGTCAATAAATCTTTGAGGCAGCGCCTCCCAACCTTCCTCTGTGGCACCATGCGGGGATGGAGGGTCGCGGATTTGGTCCTCCCGTTCATCCCGGCCCCAAGTTCATATCGGTACTTTCGACCACATTTTGTCGTGCGTCGTCAGAAAATAATTACGCTCCTATAATTTTTAGAGCCAAAGGCTGATATTTATCATGGAAACTCCAATTGTGTCACCCTATAAGCCTACCAAATTTAATCAGAATCGGCAGCCTACGAAAAGATTGCCGACTCACCAAAAATGACAGCTTTTTTTTTGTTGCCCACCCCGTATATCAGAAGCGCTAATTTTTTGTTTCAGCAAAAAGGTTTTCTAAATAATTGCTCTTTTTTCACAGATTTTCTGAAAAATTTTTCGTGAGCGTTGGGACCTATTTCTCACGCCTACATTTTGCTTTCCCCCCATTTTCTTTTTTTTAACTCCGCCAGCAAACACATCGTGCATCAAAGCGTTACGACGACTGAACTTCGGGCAGAATGGGAAAGGCTCCATCCGCCTCGCCTGCTCCTGCCGACGCACGGCCCCATATCCTCGGAATGACCACGGAAGAGAAGCCACGGTGCGAGGGACGCCTTCCCACGAACGCTGGGAAAAAGGAGGTCGGAGGAGAGGACCCTGTCCCATCCAACAACTTGCTTCGCTCTCGATCGATAGCGAATTCAAAACCGAGCGAGAAAAAGAAAATTGCTCGATTTGGACTGGCTTCGCAACCTGGGTCTGCCCGGGTTTCAGAATCTCGGATGGTCCCCCCCCAACGCAAAGGAAACGGCCCCTATCCCTCGAACCAACCCGTAAAGAATTAAGCTGAGCGCAAATTTGGGTCTCGATCGAAGAAGCCGCCTTGCCTCGCCACGTCGAGGCTCGACCGAGATTCCTCATCTGCGTTCAACTCTTACGTGTGTGCTCTCAGCGTTTTTTAATATTAAGTGCTCAATGAGCAGTTTCGGCTCTCGACCCTCGCGGAATGTCGGCCTCAGGGATTTCAAGAATGATGCGGAGGGATGGTATTTCCAACTAAAGAAATAATAATACCGGTAATAGTAATAATACCGGTAATAGTAATAATAACGGTAATAATAACAATAACAGTAATAACGACGACGGAAAGCATAATATCTCCACAAAAATTTCTAAGATCGATCCACAAAGATTATCAGGGAAAACCCGGCACGGGCCCTGCCACGGCTGAACGCTCGTTGTCGTGCAAAATGACCTTTACTGGGAGATCAAAATTGAATCTCGCGTTCTCGCCGATGCGTAAATTCTGAGAAAGTAACGGTGACGTTTTGTCCTTTCGCCGAGATCTCAGAGTCGATCGAGTTCAATTCGTAACTGTGCATCGTGCACGAAGATGTGGGAATATTATTAGGATGATCTTTTTGTCATGACGACAAAATGAACATAGAAAAAGACCAATTACTAAAATAATAATAATAATTTCGAAAAGGAACAAACCTTTGGTATCGTTGCCATAGCCGGCATTCTTAATTTCTCGTTCATTTTTCAGACGGTTTCAAGATCGCAGCCGAAGCGGAACCATGACCGACGCGTGCTTCGTCCCCCTTCCAAGGACCTGCACCCGTCCGATCGGCCCATTTTCCGTTCCTCCCTCGTCTTTTCCTCTCGTCGGCCGCAGACGGAACGAAACGAGGAGGATTCCACTCGATTCGAGAACGGTGAGCGGGAGGCAATAGGATATTCATCCAGAGGGCGTCCGCGCTGAGGACTAACTCCCCATCACCGGCTTCGTGCGAGGATCTTCATTACGATTCCGCTCGATCCGAAGGGACGGATGGGAGGAACGAGAACCATGAAGCATTTCCAGCAGCGAACCGTCGCGCCCTAAGACTCCACTGCGAGCCGGAGACGAGACGCAGGAGTCTCGGGTTTCGAACGCGTCCGCGAGCGGGAAGGAGGTCGGCGGGCACGAGGAGCGACGAAGACGGCAGGAACGGGACACCATTCGAGCATGGCAACTGCTTTTAATATGCCGAAGCCATTTTGCGCTGGGTTTCAGGCTCGACACGAGTCTACCGTTCCTGCTTCACTTTCGACGGGCGTCATGCGGAAGGAATACGATGTATACACATACTGTATATACAAGTCGTATGCGTGCATACGTTTTTTCTCTCCCTTTCTCTTCTCTCCTGGTTGAACCAGAACGAAGAGGAGACCGTACCAACCAGGTCTGTCACGAAAGAGACGGTATCGAGACGAAATATCATCGACCCGACCCTTTCCAACGCCAGAGGGGCCGTTTCCAGGATCGGCCCGATTCAACATCACCTTCGACGAGCTCATTTTGACTATGGAACCCCTATTCCCCACCGACGGGGAAGCCATGTTCACCATGGAACAGCTCCACCGCCTGGGAATCGGCTTTCACGATCGCCCTCGGATTCTCTATCGTCGTTTCCACCATTCCAACTCCCCATCTCTACCGACGAAAAACCGGATTCCTCGATCCGCGCACGATTTTCCCCTGCCGAAGCAGTCATTTCTCGGAAGGACCTCGGAATCTTCACCGCCGCAAGACCAGTCTTCGATATAGAAACTTTATTCCCCACCAAATAAGCCACGATGAAACTGGCACCCTCCAACATCACGGCAATCATTACACCTCGAAGTATTCTCCCCGACCACCAATACAGTTTCTCGTCCTTGGAAACTGTTTCTCAAAGCATCACTTCCACTCGGATGCTGGGATACCCGAGATGAATCAAAATGTGTACATTTCTAATTAGATTCTGGAGACCGAACTGCTTCTTCTGGAGACCGAAAGATGCTCGACTTCCGATTGGAATTCACGACGACGACACCACAACCCAAAAGACCGTTTCATCTCACGCACCCGACCGGCCCCAAGGCCCCACCGAGGAGTCCCAGAAACACCACGTTGAGCTTGACGGAACACCAGAGGACGTGATGGAGACTCGACTCGTCCCAGCAGAAGACAGCCGGGACCCAGCGCCATGCAGCAGGCCGTGTGGCCTTCAAACTTGCGGACGAGGTGGCTCATCTCGGATATCATCCCATACGAGACTCGGAAAGTTCTTCGTGAATGTTGAGAAAAACTCATGGGGGCCTCTTGAAACCCACAGCATCATGCATGGAAGATGCAAGAATTCTGGCGGATGAATTCTCGGAACACCACGGGAATGGTATCCGTCCGGTCGATCGTGGGTCGATCGTGTCGTCGTTCCCTTCGAGAGAAAATACCCTCACTTGCATTCATCGGCAATTCGGTGCTTCATCCGGACACGGACGTTCATGAAGATGAGATATCAGAAAAAGGGAAATGCCGAGAGGCTTTGCAGGGACAGAGAAAGACGTAGAGCAAAGAAAATGGGAATGTCGTCTTGATGGAACTAGCACTGACACGTGGGTCCAAATTATCAGGCAAAAAAAAAAGTATTTACGGGCTGACAGGGAACTAAAAATCCTGGTATAGGCATGTCAACAGTCTAACCTTCTCCTTTCTTAAAAAAACCTCGTAGCGTACGAGTACCTGTCGACTTTCTCTCCCCCAACCATCCATCCACATATATACAAGGAGTGTCCCTTTCCGAATGACGGGCTTGCATTAAGAGGAAAGACCTGATTTGTACGGTTTCGATCCAGGGTCCCCTGTATAGGAGCCACAAAAGATCCCAACCGAGCTAATCCGCAGTCCCCTTTCCAGGGCTGAGCATTCCTAAACTCGTCTCCCGCACACGTTTATGAAGAGCCTTTTGGCCAAACCTCATATTTAGAATAGCAACATTGAAGGAGCCGATGAGCCTATTTTCCGACCCTCCCTCATCATTTCCTCTCGTCAGCCGCAAACGTTGCGGAATACAGCTTTACAAGTAGAGGGTCCAGTCACTGGATTTAGAGAACAGGAGGGTATATCTGTTTGATATTCATCCGGAGCACGTCCGCACCGAGGGCCGCCTCCCCTGCGGCTTCGTGCGAGGATCTTGGTTGCGATTCCACTCGATCCCAAAGGACGGGATCGAGTGCAGGCGGGAAGAGAACCGTGAAGCATTTCCAGCAGCGAACAGTCGTACCCTGCGACTTCACTGCGAGCAGGAAACGAGAAACAGGAGTCTGGGTGCGTCAGTCGTCTCGAATACGTCCGTATGTATGAAGAACGTCGGCAGTATTGAGAACGCAAAGAGTGAGGATGAAGACATCAGGAACGGTACACCATTCGATCGGTTCAACAACTCGTAACACGCTGAAGCATAGCGCCCTGGAGTTCACGCTCGACATGTGTCTAACGTTACTGCTTCACTCTGGACGAGGCACGAGGAGCATGAGAAACCACAAGGGAAAGTCCGAGGTGTACACGTGAAGAGTTTAGGGTTTCTAGAATTTCTGTTTCGTCGGGAGTTTTGGAGAGGGGTAGTGGAGAACATAAGACCAGTCATGAGAATGGCTAAACTTCTTATTTGATTCCACACTAGTGAACATCTTACAATATCGATTTCGAAAAGTGTATGCGCATGAAGGACGCGGGTACGACTGTTCACTCCAAGGATGAAGTTTCCTCTCGTGCACAAATGATTTATTTTCAGATAAATTTCCTCGCATGATTCTCAGTTGTCGGAGCAAGGTCTACAGGCACTCATTTTGAATTTTCTCTCAGGGATGATTGGCCGCGAAGGAACTCGGAGGACTCATGCGGGTGGGGAATAGGATGGACGGATGACATGACCGAAGAAGCCAGGGCCGTGAATGCAAATTGCTTCCAGAGGGAGGCCCGGTAATTCCAGCCGTTCCACTCTGGTGGAGAAAGGGTGGTCAGAGGGTACAATTACATCTTTTCCGAGAAATATGTGAAAATGAAAAACAGATAATGGAGTAGGATACGTGGATACCTCTAGGTATGTTATGTAATAGTTCCTTTCTTAGATAGAAAAGTGCTGGCGATGAAGAAGATGCACTCACTCCACTTCAGAGCAGGGAGTGGGCGGATACAACTGACTCATCCTCACGCCGAGAGAGGCCGCGGCAATGACCACCTCCACCTCTATGCTCATGAAGGGATCTCCTTCCCGATTCCACTCGAACCTGTAGAAGAGAAGGAAAGGGAGCCGTGAATAGTTTCCATCTGCTTAACCGTTCCGCCGCGGGCCTCGATGTTGAGTCGAAAGCGAAAATGAATGTCTTGCTAAATATATCCAAAGAAGTGGAATATGGTTTCCAGTAATATGGGTTCTATGGTGAGTGACGATGCAAAGTTCATTTGAACAGTTGGTTGAGACGATCATGATGTTTTTCCTTAAATGTGACTAACCTTATTGACCGAGGCTCGTCATCGGGCGGTGGATGGTGACACTCATGACAGAAGGGGGTCTGGTCTCCAAAATCTACGCGAGAAAATATTCAAGCATTCTAGCTATTCAGGTGGAAAAGTAAAAAATGTTCATAATTGTATAGCAATGGTAGTTGAACTGCGACATTTCCCCCAACATTTGAAATTCATGGATGATCTTTTTCTTTCTTTTTATCGGGATAAGGAAGATCCTCCATGAGAAAAATTCAGTGTATAATGCGTTAGACTATGAGAGAAAGGGGCTGATTAGGTAACTCACGATATTGATTGTCATGGGTCTCCTCACGAATGAAATCTGGGATATTCTCTTCAATGAAATTTGGATTATCTTCTTCGAAGAGATCAGGTATCTCTTCTTCAATGAGGGTGAGGATCTCCTCATCGGTGAGGTCCATGACTTGCTCTTTGAAACGATAGAGGGCATTCTTTTCCAAAATGTCGGGGATATCCTCTTCCAAGAGGTTGGGGATATCTTCTTCTAATAGATCAGGGAGATCCTCTTCCAAGATATTGGGGATATCCTCCTCCAAGAGGTTGGGCATACCCTCTTCCAAGAGATCAGGGAGATGCTCATCCAAGATATTGGGGATATCCTCCTCCAAGAGGTTGGGCATATCTTCTTCCAAGAGATCAGGGAGATCCTCATCCAAGATATTGGGGATATCGTCCTCCAAGAGGTTGGACATATCCTCTTTCAAGAGATCAGGGAGATCCTCTTCCAAGATATTGGGGATATCCTCTTCCAAGAGATCAGGGAGATTCTCATCCAAGATATTAGGGATATCCTCCTCAAAGAAGTTGGGCATATCCTCTTTCAAGAGATCAAGGAGATGCTCTTCCAAGATATTGGGGATATCCTCCTCCAAGAGGTTAGGTATATCCTCTTCCAAGACATCGGGGATCTCTTCTTCAATGAGGCTGTGGATATCTTCATCGTAGAGGTCGATATTCCGCTCATTGTAGGGATCAGGTATACTCTTGTAATAGATATCAGGGATCTCCCCTTCGTTGGTATCGGTTGTGTCCCCTCCGCTTTGATTGGGTATCGCCCTTTCGCTGAGATTGATGATCTTCCTTTCCCATAGATCAGCTTTCTCCCTTTCGAAGAGAACTGGGTTGTCCCCCTCGTTGGTATCTGGAATCTCCCCTCCGCTGTGATCAATCATCTTCCTCTCGAAGTGGTCGGCGATAATTTCTTCGCTGATATCGGTGATATGATCTTCGGTGAAGATGGATGTTTCCTGGCCGATCTCATCTTCGGAATCTTGATCGCTTTCGCCAGCTAATGAAACCCGAAATTGTTACACATTAATTGGGGACGCTTGGGTTGACAAGTTAAATATCCGCATGACGTAAAAAATGCGTGGGTTGGCTCTGCCTGGACGGAAATCGCGCAATAACTTTTCTCGCAGAATTTTTCTTGTCTGATGTGATATGAAGTAGATGCATCTGGTGACAAACATAATTTCTCGATCGGCCGAAGCAGTAGTTACTCTCGGAAAATGGGGTTTCAGATGCCTTTTGTATTTTGAGATGTATTTATGGGCATTCCAGCGTAAATTTCAAGCAGTACTCTTGTTTCACGGATTATTTAGATTTGGGAAAGAATTCACTGGTAGCTCCTAGCCTTTTCTCTCTAAGAGAACTATGCCATCGTTCTATTGAGTTTTAAGCTGGTTCGCATTAATGTATTTGATGTTTATTTCAGAATTGCCCGCATGGAATTGGAACGATGCTGATCATCGAGGGCACCATCCCCCCCACTCCCGTGAAGAAATGGGTGCATCGTCATGAGATGTTAAGAAAATATATTTGATTGAAACCCACTGAAGAACAAGAATACCTTCCAGAGACTTCCCAAGAAGCGATCGTGCACCGATACGGGAGGATAAAAAGAAAGTGATGAACTTACATTCTCCATTCCTCGTGGAGCATCGGAACGCGAAGAGACGCTTGACCTGACCCCAAACGAAGCCGGCGTGGCGTCTCAGCGTGCAAAGATCGCAAGAGCAGCCCATCGCATCCGGATCATCTGCCGTCGCATTCATTTTCGCAACTCTCGAAGTGCTAGGCAACCATTCTTTCACGACGACAGTCGATATGCGGAGGAAGTCTCCCCGAAACGGAAATAGTGGTTAATGTGACCTCGTTTTAGAAGGCCGGATTCCTAACCCTACAGATGCCTGCGGGCCACACCCACAATATTTCACCGAAATTTGTGGAAACAGTAAATGCCAGTGGAAAATTCAAGGACGGATGGGGGGCCGGATGAATCACCTCTGCGGACCGAATCCGGCCCATGGGCCGCATGTTTCGCACTACTGAGTTAGAAAAACATAGAATTATGCCCCTGTGTCTTTACCTGTGGTGTCATTTGAAGCGCATTTGATGTTGCATTCAAACGGCGAAAAACATTCGAGAAATAGTTGCCGTTATATAATATTTCCTGTTAAGCAGAGCAACTCCTGGAACCTACTGATTGTGAATATTGCTTGGAGTTTGAGGTTTAAAAGAGGCTCGATTTTTCATTTGGGAAGGAAATCCTTGCACATCTAAGAACCATTTCAAGGGTAACATTCTACAGTTTAGCCTCGGCGTGAGAACGT